TGATGGGTCATGTATGTACGTATGTATGACGGGTCATGTATGTATGTATGTTTGCATGACGGGTCATGTATGTACGTGTGTAAGACGGGTCATGTATGTACGTATGTATGACGGGTCATGTATGTACGTATGTATGATGGGTCATGTATGTACGTACGTCCGGCCGTCTGGGGACCCCAGTTTGAGAACCACTGCTTTAGATGGACAGCTAACCTGTTGTCTGTCAGCTTGCATGACTAAAATGTTTCTCCCTGAATCCTGCCCTATCTGATTGAGTTTCAACTTCTCTTATAGATCTTCTATTCTCTCATGTAGTCAGCGATCACTGGACGGGTCAGAGCAACTCAACGGCCAGTGACACCAGTGTCCAGGAAGTCAGAGTCAGTGTACAGGAAGTGGGCGTCCTCCCGAGTACGAGCACCATGCCGCCAGAGCTAGATAAATACTTGGACGTGGATGAAGCTGCCCATCGTCACGGATACACCCAGCAGGACAGTCAGTCTGACTGCGAGGTGGTGGTTGTTTCTGACAGTAAGCTTGATGACGCACAAGCAATTAGTCTGAGGTAAGCATTACAGATTTTAAGTTCTGTTCTTTTTTCCAAACACTGTACTTGCACGTCTTTCCTCTAATTGTGTATTTCAGCTCATACAATGAATTGTGGAGCTCTCCTGATTGTGTTGTTTGGTGATTACATCACTGTAACTGCAGATCAATATCAATGATCGTTCTTCCTGCAGAGAAAGAACCAACATTGAAGTTTGTGTGGAAATCGAAACTCACCCGAGAGCCGTCCGCCGGTCCAGTACAAGTAGTGTCCTGTCCAGCCGAAGTCTGTCAGCTGAGTCCCTGGGCCACTCCCAGGACTACCCCTGTGCCTCAGAGCTGGAAGAAAGACGAGAACGTGGTGGAGGACGAGGAGAGGAGCTGAATGGAAGAGAGAAACCAGGAGGAAGCGTCTTTTCTGTCTTTGAAACTGTTGATGTATGAAGAACGCGGGAGCATGTTTTCTACTTGATTTAGTCAGATTTTATGGAAACAGACTAAATTCTGAGATGACACCGTCATCGAATGGACCTTAAAGTTTTCAGCCAAGGTCATCCCTTCTGCTTCAGTGATGAGACCTTCCACCAAATGCCTTCACCCTCCAATCTCTAAGGACTTTTTGGGCTGTGAGAGCCAGTGAAAAAATCTGTATGTATTTGTATGGATGAGCATGAGACTATAGTATAAAAACTATAAAGCAGACAGGAAAGAATAATAGCTGACTAGCTTTGACCGTTTTTTTTTTTCTTCTTTACATGTTATTTCTGAAACAAAACACCTTACATTCAGTTTTTAAAGCTTTTTTCATATAACGGTCCTCTTTTAGTCGGTTTACCTGTAGGAGACTTCCTCAGAAACAAGCATGATTTGTTTTATTGGGAACTGGGAATCCAAAAAACAAACAAACAAACAAAAAAAAAACTGTCTTGGCAATAAATTAACAAAATGTTCCAAAAGCCATGATGCGGGACCGGAAAAAAAAGAGGCCACAATTACCAGGTGAATATTTTACACATGATGCATGTATACCTGTAGCCACAGTTTTAATTTTTTTATTTTTTATTGGAATAAGATGCGCTCTCTGAAAATGTTCACCAAGTTGAATAAAGGAGCGTAGAAATACAAGGGATTATAAATTTAACCACAGATCCACGGTCTTCCATAGAAGCCATTTGGGCCCAGTTTTCTGCATTGCTGTTGTCATACAGCCTTCAAGGAAACATTTCTGTTTTCACTGTAGAGAGGGAAGTGCTTTTTCTACCGCAGGACTACTTTGCAGCTACGCCTCTGTACCCCCGCAGTGATGAACATTCAAAACGTACACATGCACAGGAGTCTGCACAGCTGCAGTAGAGTTTGCTGCTGAGAGCATCACTATAAAAACTTGTAGATCCTCTGAAGTGTTAAAAAGCATCAGGATGACCACAGCAGCATGCCACTGCAGGCTAAACATGCCCTTTCTAGAGGATTTATGACTCTATGGCTACACATGAACTGCTTCCTGAGTGTGAAATATAAGGGAACTTTAAACTTGGAATGGGAACGTGCGCTGCGTTTTTGAAGTGAACAATAAATAAAGATTTCACCATGAAGGAGAGATCCAGGCTGTGTGTGTTCTTTACTGGGAACTTATTTTGTATTGGAGTTAAGCTGCTCCATGTGCATGGTAATACTGTATCTGTACATATGTTTGGCTACACTCCCAACATTTTTGCCTTGTTTTCAATTAGTTTATAGCAAATTGTTTTTTGTCAACTGCTTTGTTGTGCTTCAATTGGTGGATAGTCTACTATCAGTAGGCTACAGAGGCTAATAACTTTGTTTTACGATTTATTTTTACTTCAAAATGCTCATTTTGATTGTTAAAACATGATCGTCTTGCATCACATCTGGCCTGATATAGGATTTGAGCTGCTCCAAGGTTTGTGGTCATCTATTTTGGCTCATTCTGTGCAAATTATTTTCAATAAGTCAGAGGTCTGAACTGATGGCAGGACAGTTTAGTTGTCTTTCCTTTGGCCCTCAAGATGTTTAGAATTGTCATGTTCAAAAAAGCAAGCCTCCCTGAAAAACATATTATCTTGATCGCACTATATGTTTATCTCAAATCAGTTTATACTGTATGTTGTTCAGCTTTAATTGTCCTCCTTACAAATGTTTATGTTGCTGCTGGCATGTGCACAGATGTACATATCAGCATGCACAAGTTTAGGCTGTGTGCGTCTAGCAAACTACATAATCAATTTGAACCTAATTATGGAGGATGGGGCAATGTTTAAACTTAATTTCAGTTTTTAATCAGCCCGCTCAGGACATTTGACATATACAAACCATATACTAGTGTGTACTGCCTAACTAAGCCCTTCCAGGGTCAGTAGGCAAGTTATTCAGTCTTTTGTGCAAAGCAACCACTTCTATTAGTTATTATCTAACATCTCTGCTTGAACAAAACTGAATGAATGAGTTAAAGAATGCTGGCACAAGATAAGGTACGGCATAAACAATGCATGTGCCACAAATAATCATAAACATCACCGTTTGACTACAACTACTAACTAAGAAAATATAAGATAAGACAGGACAAGATAAGAAAAAATAAGATAAGGTAAGATAAGACAAGACAAAAGAAGATAAGGTAAAATAAGACAAGACAAAAGAAGATAAGATAAGATAAGACAAGACAAGACAAGATAAGATAAGATAAGATAAGATAAGATAAGACAGGACAAGATAAGAAAAAATAAGATAAGGTAAGATAAGACAAGACAAGACTAGAAGAGACAAGACAAGACAAGACAAGATAAGATAAGATAAGATAAGACAAGACAAGATAAGATAAGATAAGATAAGATAAGGTAAGATAGAAATTTATTGATCCTGCAGGAAATTGTTGCACCAGAGTTTCAATACAAAGGAACATACACAAGGAATCACACAAGATATAAAAAAATAACAGAGACCTTTCTGGGTGGAGTTTGCATGTTCTCTCTGTGCATGCGTGGGTTTTCTCCAGGTACTCCGGTTTCCTCCCACAGACCAAAAACATGCATGTTAGGCTGATTGGTAACTCTAAACTGTCCCTAGGTGTGAGTGAGAGAGTGAATGGTTGTTTGTCTCATTTGTCTCCATGTGTCCCTGTGATGGACTGGAGACCTGTCCAGGGTGTACTCAGCCTCTCGCACAGTGATGGCTGGACATGGGAACCAGTGACCCCGGTGACCTGAAAAGAAAGAAACAGGTAAAGACAATGGCTGGATAGATGGAAGGATAGCACATTTTTAAAAGTTAATGTTTTCAAAGAGCTACATAAAAAGACAAAATTTAACCTTTCATTCATTCAAAAAACACAATTTGACAGCAATAAACTGCAATCTGACTAAAACCTTATTGCATTTACATAAACAAAGTATTTTAATAGATGAGAATCATGAGATGACAGTCTTGAACCAGACGTTTATTTAATGATGCAGGGACATACTCTGATCACTAGGGGGCGCCAAAATACAAAAGAAGGTTCAGTTTCATCATAGCTAAAAAAAATAATATAAACTTTATAATTATTAAAATACCGGCTATTTATATTTTTATACCTTAGTATGGAGATACAAATATGTAAATGACCACAGCTAATATATTTTATATTATTTCATGTAGATATATGAAATAAGCAAAAACAGCAAAATTATGGCCAACCTTAATGCAAAAAAAAAAAAAATAATAATAAAGATTTAAAGGTGTAAGACTGGCTGTATAAAGCCGGTGATGAGACGTTCTGGGAGAAAGTCTTCAGCCTCTGGAGGTGAAGGACACGCCCTCAACTTTGGGAGCGGTGTCTGGACTCCGCGTGCGCGCCTTCAGCTGCTCGTATCACCCGGAGCTGACAGACCTCCAGTGGAAACTTGTCTCTGCCTCTTCTTTGTCTCTCTGACGAACCAGTCGCCGAGTGGAGCGGAGTCCTCCGTGTTTATCTCCCCCCGTGGAGCGGAGACGGACCGAGGGAACCCACCTGCCGGAGAGAGTGGACACACCTCGGGATGGATGCTCTGAAATCTGCCGGCAGAGCCATCATCAAGAGCCCCGGCGTCCCGCGGCACACCTGGGGAACTACCAAGCATGAAAGTGAGTGAGACTGAACAATGGCTTTGGTTCCACGGAATGTGTGGTTGCTGGATTTATCCGTGGAAAAGAAAGAGGAAAGGTGTGAGCTGCTCTTCCCAGAAAGAAACCGGACTGTTGTTTTAAAATGCATGTGCAGCTGGAAACATCTGCTGACTCAGCTCTGTCAGGTGCTGCGACTTTTGGTTTCTCAAACTTTGACACTTTTCAAAATATTTAAGTTTATTCTCGAATACTTTCCCTGTAGAAACACGGGGATTTCTGCAAAGATATTGGTTTGTTTGAAATCTTCAGTGAACTTGCTTTGCTATGTAACTTTTACCTAGCTTTAGCTACTTTTAGCCAATATTTTTTGCTGCTTTTACCTAGTGCTTGTTATTTTTAGCTTTTGCTACTTAGCTATGCTTTTTTTTTACTTTAGTTAACCTGTTGCTGCTTTTAGCTAATATTTGTTGTATTTACTGTTTGCTACTTTTAGCATTTATTTATTATTTTGTTACTTTAGCTGATCTCTTGCTGCTTTTAGCTAGTGTTTGTCACATTTAGCTTTTGCTACTTTTAGCATTTAGCTATTCTTTTGTTACTTTAGATAACCTGTTGCTGCTTTTAGCTAGTGTTTGTTATTTTTAGCTTTTGCTACTTAAGCATTTATCTATTCTTTTGTTACTTTAGCTGACTTGTTGCTGCTTTTAGCTAATGTTTGTTGTATTTAGCTTTTGCTGCTTTTAGCATTTAGCTGTTTTGTTATTTTAGCTACTGTTGCTGCTTTGATCTAGTGTTTGTTATTTTTAGCTTTTGCTACTTATTTTTTGTTACTTCAGCTAACCTGTTGCTGTTTTTAGCTAGTCTTTGTTATTTTTAGCTTTTGCTACTTTTAGCATTTAGCTGTTCTTTTGTTGTTTTAGCTAGTGTTTATTTTTAGCTTTTGCTACTTTTAGCATTTAGCTATTCTTTTCTTACTTTTAACTGAACTGTTGCAGTTTTAGCTAGTTTTGTTATTTTTTTGCTAGCTTTTTTGCAATTCTGCTTTGAACATTTAGCTTTTGCTACCTTGAGCTTTTAGCTACACTTGTTTAGTTAACTTTTTACTGTTTGTAGCTAGTGTTAAATATTTTTAGCTTATATGTAGCTTTTTGCTACATTTAACTTGTGCAAGTTCTCCCTTTAAGTTTCTGGTTTGCTACTTTTAGCAAGGTTTATACATTTAGCTAGCATTTGTCTTTTAGCCAACCTTTCACTACTTTTGACTTCCAGCTATTTTGCTAGTTTTAGCATTTAGCTAATGTCCGGCTTCTTTTTAACAACGCAGTTAAGCTTTTTCCAGAAAATTTAAGCAAAGTCATTCAGCACTCAACACATTTTTGCAGAAAATGCAGTTTCTGTAGTTGAGTTTTTAAGAGTCAGTTTTACTTTCAGTGTGCCCTGAATGATGTGGCAGAATTTCATGTTATTTCTTAAAAAAACTTTGACATTAACTAAAATAAGCTAATTATTGTTGCAGTCCAAAAGTTGATGGAACCTAGGAATGCAGGCACACAAGAGGAAACTTCAAAGGTAAACTAAAATACTTTTATTACACAAAAGTAAAGGGCTGGCTTGGCAGCACAACTTGCAAAAACTCGGGAGCACAAAGGAGCCTGACCCTTGTGGCACTGAGGCCGATGATGGACTGTAGAGGTGGTGATGGCCGGAGACTGGATATATAGAGCAGAGGTAAATGGAAAGTGGAGGCACCTGGGTTGATAGGGGACAGAAGAGTGGCAGTCTGACTGGAAGAAGCACTGAGGGTGAAAGTGAAATGGCAGAGTGAACACAGGGACGTTAAACATTAAGAAAATAAACACATAAATACCAAAAACAACCCTAACAATACAAATACAAAACTAACGCAAAAATGGAGATCCACCATAGAATATTTGTCACCAGTAACTGACTCACAAAAACAAACACAACAATGGAAATAAAAATAAACTTTGTTAAAAGATGTCAATGTCAATTAAAAAATATTACTTTGAAATGACAAAGTAGCCCAAAACAGGATACTTGGCTTGTAGAATTAAACATTTTCAAAATTTTATTTTTCTCTGTAAAAATTATTTCATGACTCATCTTAGTATATCATCGTATTTTGATATGGAGTTATAAATCATTCAGTCCAAAGTGAAATAATTATATTCAACTTTACAACTTAATAATTATTCTTTTTTTAATTTCACCTGCATTTTATGTATTTTAATTGCAATACTTCAGTAACAATGTTGCAAAAGTTTGGATTGTATATTTTATTTAGAATTATAAGTATTTATAATACTAAATAAAATATACAAGCGCAAGCTGCTGCCCCCGCGACCCGACTTCAGAACAAGTGGAAGATATTGGATGGATTGATAAGTATTTATTTTAAAACTCAAGTGTTATTTTTAATTAAAATTCTATCTTTTTAATTTTGTGGCTTGTTGATGATATTCAACTGTTTTTACAAGTTTATAAATATGGTGGGGCCACAGTCATGTTGTTAATGGAGCTGTTGCAGTTGTGAAATTGCAGTTTTATCAGTGCATTCTTTTAGCTATAGCTTTTTGCTAAATTCAGTTTGTAGCTAGCCTTTTATATGAAGGTGGTGGTATTGTATGTAGGCGTGCTGTTTTTTCATTTTTCTTTATTGTTGCATTATTATTGCACATGTTTTTAATGTGGTTGTTTCATGGAAGTCTCCATGTTGTATTTTTGGACCCAGAGTCTGTGCATTAGGGATGTGGGACTTTAGGTCCCGCCTACATCCCCCACACACAGTCACATCACATTTTAATTAGAGCATAAAAATAACTAATTACAGTTTAAACATGTTGAAAAAATAAATATTTGGACATACAGCAGCAAGGTGATTATATGAATCAGCAAGCATCAACACCTGAAAACGTGATTTGAGTTTTTTTTTTTTTGTTTGTTTTCACAAACACAATGCACCATTTGTTTATTTGGAATGCGAAGAACCTAAAGCTTATACAGGAACCAGTCTACTAGGGTGCTAGTCCCATTTTGGCTTCAACTTTTGGGTACGTTTTAGATTAGTGCTTTAAAAAAATATATATATATATATTTTCCAATGTGTTTTGGCAGAGTTGGTTGTTCATCTTGCTTGTTTTGTTTTGCAATGACGTCTTCTGTTCACTTAGCAGAGCACGTAGCATCCAAGGCTACTCAAAATAATTAGTTGGTCTTTCATGCAACGATCCTCAGCAGTTGTTACAAGCTGAACATTTAACGTAAGCTACCAACTTTTTTGCAAGTCAGCTAGAATAAAATATTATGCATCCCTGCAGTTTTGTTTGAAACAGCTAAATAACGATACATATGGCAGCTTTTACGTGCTAAAAATATTTGTATTTTGCTTAGCAAATGAATACATTAAAAAATTGATGAGTGTCAGCATCTACTTGATTTGCTGGTACTGTAAATGGTTTGAAAAATACCAACTTATTGCATACTGGTAAAAACAAAACGTAATAAATCATACGTTAATTTTACGTGTTATTCTAGAAGTCAGCAAAGACATGTTTCAGACAAAAATCAAGTTAGTAATATTAATTTTGACATTAGCTCTACTCAGTGTGGAGCACAGTGGATGCTGAGAAGAGGACCAGGACTCAAAGCTCACACCATCAGTGACAGACTGCTTCACTGCCTGCAGCCCTTCTGTCTCACAAATGTGTCAAACATAGTCTTGAATGCTCTCCTTGCTTCTAAATGCTAACATGCTGCTTATGCCTCATCTAGAATTCCTGCTTTGTAAATAATCCACTGCTCATGCCAGCTTTCATTAAACATGACTGGTTAATTTCACAACCACAACGATATTCTCAATGCCACCGGGCTTTGCAAAAACACACTACACACATTATTAGAACTTTAAGCATAAACCTATTGTATTCAAAGTTTATTTTTTCCTAAAATGATAAGCATTTTAGGTATTTCTGATAGTTTGGGGTGCATTTTCAACCCCTGTAAAATAATGCTAAAACTATGATGACTTTGCAATGACAAAAATGATCAATATCTTGAAAGACACTGTTAGTGGCACATTGTTCACAAGAGAATCTGCAATGTGTTTTTCTTTTTTCACTTATGTCTGTGTCCAAAGGACGGGTAAAAAAAAAATCAGATTGACAGCATCACAGCTGAAGCCATCTGGATTTTAACATCTGATGACAGAAGCAGTTTGTGTTTGCGAGCTACCGGAGGAATCAGGCTAAAAAAAACAAGTACACTCCGGTCTCAGACTGTAAGGGTGACTCCTGATATCCTGAAGCTACTTAGCAGGCAATTTGCTGAGAGAACAGCAACTGTATGCCAACATGCTGTGATGCGTCAATGCTGGCTATCAGAATGCAGATAAGGTGATGCTGCATTTACTAGACATAGCCGCATAAATTTGGTATGATGTTTGGGAAAAATGTCAAATTTTTGAATTTGCCTGATGAAAAAAGATCATGTGACGACCAAGAGAATCAGACCTGTTTTTGACATGTTTTGACCTTGACATCACTTGTCATGAAGTCGCTGGAGAGGCTGGTCCTTAAGCATGTCAGATCAGCGGTGGAACCATACCTGAACCCCCTACAGTTTGCATACCAGCCATGCATTGGAGTTGACGACGCTGTCATCTACCTGCTGCACAGAGCCTACACGCACCTGGACAGGGCAGACAGCTCTGCAAGAGCTTTGACTCTTCCAGTGCTATTAACACCATATGACCTGCTCTACTATGCAGTAAGCTCCTGGACATGCAGGTGAATGATTCACTCACTGGTCATCTGGATCTGAGACTACCTCACAGGTCAGCCACAGTATGTGAGGCTGCAGAACACCATCTTTGACACCATACTGAGCAGGGCTGCTCGGGACAGTCCTCGCCGTTTCTGTTCACCCTCTACACTTCACACTTAAGGTACAACTCACAAGCCTGCCATCTGCAGAAGTTCTCGGATGACTCTGCCTTTGTG